GCCTGGTGTGCTAATATTTTCTTTTTGGCTTTTTGGGTCCCACCTGGCGATGCTCAGGGGTTCCTCCTGGCTCTGCACTCAGGAACCACTCCTGGCGGTGCTCGGCGGACCATATGGGCAACCTGGGTTCAATCCCTGGCATCCCGGGGGGGTTCCCTGAGCACCGCCAGGGGTGATTCCTGAGTGCAGAGCCAGGAGGAACCCCTGAGCATTGCTAGGTGTTCCCCCAAATGCCAAAATGCCAAAAAAAAGCAAGCAGCTGACCTGGGTTCGATCCTGGCACCCTGTATGGTCCCCAAAAACACTGTCCACTGTCACTGTCCTCCCGTTGTTCATCGATTTGCTCGAACAGGCCCAGTAACGTCTCCATTGTGAGACTTCTTGTTACTGTGTTTGGCATCTTGAATACTCTCGGTAGCTTGCCAGGCTCTCCAAGAGGGGCGGAGGAATCGAACCTGACTCGGCCAGGCTGGCTGTGCTCAAGGCAAATGCCCTACCGCTGTGCTATCGCTCCAGCCCAAATACCTCCAGAAATGATCGCTGAGCACAAAGCTAGGAGTAAGCCCTGAGCACTGCTGGGTATGACCAAAACACCCAAGGAAAAAAAATGCTTAAAGATGTGCAGCTTCTTGAGTGCAGTGAGCACTTGCCGATTCTACACACTTCATTCATTCATTCATTCGCTCTCCGATGTGTGCTGAGTTTCAAATAATGTCTGTGGGAGTGGCCTGGGGGGTAGCCTCTAAAGAATCCCGAAAGCCCCTCGCTCCGGTTCTGGGGAAACCCCAAGATGATGAATCTGTCTCACTGCAAGTGGATGAAGCCTGAACTCGGGGGAAGTCCTGGTGAAATGCAGTTTACAGGCTCTGAACCCCTGAACACAAGACATGGGGTGCACCAGAAAACCTGGCGAGCCCTGCAGACCCTATACCCCACAGCCCCAAGCTGGGCATTCCAGAGCAACCCCCTGTACCCTCTTTCCCGTTGTAAACTGTACAAACAGCGCCCCCATGTGCCCACACACAAAAATACACACACAGTTAGGAGGACATGGAAACCTTTGACCTGCGAAACTTCAGACAGCTGTTCTTACCCTCTGTGTGTGTGAGACAAGCTGGGAGGAACAATGGATATTCATTAACGTGCAGAATTGCATGAATGTCGCAATCCTCTGCAGAGGAGACCTGGGACCTCTCCTCCAGCCTCGGGGTCTCCATCTGGAGAACAAAGCAAAATGAGAGAGAGAGAGAGAGAGAGAGAGAGAGAGAGAGAGAGAGAGAGAGAGAGAGAGAGAGAGAGAGAGAGAGATCCCAAACGGGGGGGGGGGGTGAGAGAGGGAGGAAGAGAGAAAGGGAAAGAGAGAGGGGAGGGAGAGAGGGAGAGAAGAAAGAGGGGAGGGAGTGAGATGGAGAGAGAGAGAAAGGAAGGAAACCGATAATTTAAAAAAAGAGAAAACGAGGAAACCCCATAGTCACACCTGTTTTGAACCTAGAAGCAGGGGCCATGGCAGCCTCTGACCACCAGAGGGCAGTGGCACCCCAGAGTCCGGGTCTGAGCACCCGGGTCCCGCCCAGGCGCGGGAATCCGGACGGGGTGGGGGTGGGGGGGGGCAGGGAGGGGAGAGGGAGAGGGTGGATTCCAGGCGGCGGGGGCGGGCTCTGGCACGCACACCTGTCACCCCACCTGGCTCACGTGAGCAGGTGGTGTGACTTGACCCTGTGGATCAACTCATGCGGATTTCCCAACGAGCAACAGCTGCGAAGAGCGATGAAAACCGGCCCCCTCCCCCCAAACTTATAAGGAAATGGAGTATGTTTATTTACCAAGAATATGAGACAGCAGCTCCGAAGACAATGCGAGAGGCCTTATTTATTTATTTTTTGGTGTGAGGGCGGTGCACAAGGGCTTCCTCCTGGTTCTGCGCTCAGGGATCACTCCTGGCAGGCTTGGGGGACCCTATGGGGGTGCTGGGGAATCCGGTCTAGGTCAGAGTCCTCCCCACTGTAGTATCCCTCCAGCCCTGGAAGGGATTTTTTTTGGGGGGGGGGGGGTTGGAGCCATAGCACGGCGGTAGGGCGTTTGCCTTGCCAGTCCAGCTGGGCTGTGTTCGATTCCTCCACCCCTCTCAGAGAGCCCAGCAAGCTACTGAGAGTATCTCGCCCCTGGCAAGCTACTTGTGACGTATTCAATATGCCAAACACAGTAACAACAAGTCTCAAAATGGAGACATTACTGGGCCTGCTCGAGCAAATCGATGAACAACGGGAGGACAGTATTTTTTTTTAATTGAAATACCGTGAGCTACAGTTACAAAACTTTCATGTTTGAGTTTCAGTCATACAATGATTGAATACCCATCCCTTCACCAGGGCACATTCTCCACCACCAATGTCCCCAGTATCCCCCCATCCCAACCCTCCGCCTGCCTCTATGGCAGACAATCTCCCCCAGACTCTCTCTCTCTACTTTTGGGCATTGATCACTTGATCACTTGATATGCCGTTACTCATCGATTTGCTCGAGCAGGTGCCAGTAACGTCTCCATTCATCCCTGTTGCGTGCTAGCGTAGCCCAATGGCGTCTGCTCGTTCTAGGAACACGAAGAGCCTCAAACCGATTGTTCAGGGTCTTGACGAAGAAGTCTGACCATCTCGTAGGTGGGCAGCCACACGATCTTTTGATGTCCTGTGGAATCCAGTCGGTAACGGAGTCCAGTCCAGTCCCGCGGTCACCTCCAAATCTCATTATGTGTCTGGCCCAACTGATTTTCGACGCCTTGGCAAACAAGAGAGCGTCCCTGATTTTTGAGCATTGACGGAGGTCGGAACTCCGGATTCTTTCTCTCATTTGAGTGAAGCATGATACTCCAAGCATAGCTCTTTCGATTCCTCTTTGGGAGACCCGAATAGCGTTCTCATCCTGTTTTCATAGGGCCCAGGTCTCTGAGGCATATGTTAATGCAGGAAGAACAATGCAATCAAAGAGATGTGCTTGGAGCTGGAGATTCTTCATCCTCTTAGTTATTTCTTCGACGCTCTTGAAGGTGTTCCAAGCCGCTCTCTTCCTCCTGCGCAGCTCAGGTGCCAGGTCATTTCTCATGTTGACTTCTAGGTACGCATAACTGTTGCATTCGGAGATGGTCATTCCGTTGAGAGTGAATGGAACATCAGGAATAAGACTGTTTCTCATGAACATTGTCTTTGTGAGATTCTGCTGTAATTCAAACTTTCCACACTCACGGTCGAAGTCAGTAAGCATTTGTGCCGCTTGGCTGATGTTTGGTGTTATTAGAACAATGTCGTCAGCAAAGCGGAGGTGGTGTAGTTGCCGACCATCTATCTTCACTCCCATTCCTTCCCATTCCAGTCGTCGCATGATGTTCTCGAGGGTGGCACTGAAGAGTTTCGGTGAAATGGTATCAACCTGCCGAACCCCTCTCTTGACATCGATGATCACTTCTTTGTAGAATGGTGAGATCCTGGTAGTGAATCCGTAATACAGCTCACGGAGGATCCTGATGTATTGAGTTTGAACTTTGGGGCATCATGGTTTGCAATACAGACACTGAGAGGCCATCACGTTGGGTCCTTGATCTACTCTCAGCACACATCTCCCATCCCGAGCGATCCCTCACCATCACTGAATCAATGATCCCTTCTTTATCCCAGCTGCCTTCTCCCCCGGCTCATGAGACAGGCTGCCAACCATGGAGCAATACTCCTGGCCCTTGTCTCTACTGTTCTTGGATGTCAGTCTCATATTATGCTATTTTATAGAATGAGTGCAATCATTCTATGTCAATCTAGAAGGGACCTTTTTCCAGAAGAGGCAAACATTTAAGGACCAGAGAGCTAGTCCAATGAGGAAGGCATTTGACTTGCATGTAACCCACCTGGGTTCCATCCCCTGCACAGCATATGGTCCCACAAACTCTATTAAGAGAGATCCTTGAGAACAGAGCCGGACAAAGCCCTGAGCACTGCCAGGTGTAGTGAAAAAAAAAGTAAATAAAAAATATTTTTATAAGGACGGGGTAGGGGTGGAATCATCATCCAGAGCAAGCAAGTGGAAGAAATGGCCTCCCAGCCTGATTGACCATCCTCTCCTGCCCACTGACCACTGGGGGGAGGGAATATCATTTTCGTCCTTCTGATAGAGAATAGCAATCTTGTTTTTTTTTTTTTTATTTAATTTAATTTTTTTTTTTTTGCTTTTTGGGTCACACCCGGCGATGCACGGGGGTTTCTCCTGGCTCATGCACTCAGGAATTATTCCTGGTGGTGCTTAGGGGACCCTATGGGGTGCTGGGAATCGAACCCTGGTTGGCCGAGTGCAAGGCAAACACCCTCCCCGCTATGCTATCGCTCCAGCCCCAATCCTCTTTATTTCTGACAGCCCCCTGGGGCCAGGCGCTTATAAGATCCAGATTTTCAGAGGCTTCTGTCCCTTTGCCCGGGATCGCCTGATGCCTTTTTGTTTACTTATTTTGCAGATGGCAAAGAGCTTAGGAAAGAAACAGGAGGAAACCCAAAACGCCTCGTTCCTTCCCAGAAACCAGCTATCTCTGCATCTGGAGGAACCCCCAGGAGGCGGTGTGCTCAAGGGTTGAAGTTCGAGGACTTTAAGTCGCTTTCAATCTCAAGGCCGCTGTCTGCTGATTGGGTAAACAGAAGAGACTTGCTATCTAGGACAAATTCCGGCCCTGGACAGTGGATAAACAAACCCCGGCCCAGCAGGTTGTTCAGCCCCGAAGGAACCCGCCCCCTCAAATTCCTGCCTCCGATTGGCCCTTCTCGGAGAGTGGGCGGATTCCCAGCGGCTCCACCAATCCTAGCTCACTCCCGAAAAGGGCGGGGCCTTCGCAGGTAGGCGGACCCCCCGAGCATATTTGACCAATCATGGGCAGAGATCGCTTGAGGTGGGCGGGGCAGGAGCGCGCGGAACCAATCAAGACTCTCAGCGGGAGGCGGAACCACGCGATGGGCGTGGCCCGAGGGAGCCGGGTGTCCCCGCGGGGTGGCCGGGCGCGGACACGGTCCCCGGGCTCCACCATGGCCAGGTCGCCCCTCGCGCGTGTCCTGCTGGCGTGGGCGCTTGTGGCGCTGCTGGGGACGCCGGCGCGGGCCCGCGGTGGCCGCGGCCACGGGGACTGGGGCCCCGAGGCCCGGCTGCCGCCGCTGCCGCCCCGCGAGGACGCGGCGCGCGTGGCCCGCTTCGTGACGCACGTCTGCGACTGGGGCGCGCTGGCCACCACGTCCACGGAGCCGGCGGTGCGCGGCCTGCCCTTCGCCGACGTGCTGTCGCTGAGCGACGGGCCCCCGGGCGCGGGCCGCGGGGTACCCTACTTCTACTTGAGCCCCATGCAGCAGCTTGTGGGCAACCTGCAGGTGAGCACTGCGCGGGGATTCCATGGGGAACCGCACCGCGGGCCCCCCTGCCGAGGAGGCGCCAGTCCTCAGCGGACCCACCCCGGAGGTTGCCAGTCAGGCCCATCTGGGGAAGGGGACACACCCCCCTGGGCCCTCCAAGTAGTGGGAAGGGGCAGCGGTTCGAGCACCCGGCGATGCACAGGGCTTCCTCCTGGCTCTGCACTCAGGAGTTACTCCTGGCGGTGCTCAGGGGACCATATGGGGTGCTGGCAGTCGAACCCGGGTTCGCCGTGTGCAAGGCAAACGCCCTACCCGCTGTGCTATCTCTCCAGCCCCTGATTTTTTTGGCTTATTTTTTGGGTTGTGTTTTTTTTTACTTTTCTTTTCTTTTCCATTTTTTTTTTTTTGCTTTTGGGGCCACACCCAGCGATGCTCAGGGCTGACTCCTGGCTCTGCACTCAGGATTCACTCCTGGTGGTGTTGGGGGGACCATATGGGATGCCGGGGTCGAACCCAAGTCGGCCGAGTGCAAGGCAAACGCCCTCCCCGCCGTGCTATCGCTCAGGCCCTCAAGGAGAGTCTTATTCAGGAACCTGGGTCCGTTGTGGCCGCCCCTCCTAAGGTCCCAGTTTCCAAGGCCTGGTCCGGACATCAGTAGAACTGTTCATTTATTTTTAAATATATTTGTTTATTTATTGCTTTTTGGGTCACACTCGGCGATGCACAGGGCTTCCTCCTGGCTCTGCACTCAGGAGTTACTCCTGGTGGTGCTCAGGGGACCATATGGGATGCTGGGAATCGAACCCTGGTCGGTCGCGTGCAAGGCAAACGCCCTCCCCGCCGTGCTATCGCTCTGGCCCTCAAGGAGAGTCTTATTCAGGAACCTGGGTCCGTTGTGGCCGCCCCTCCTAAGGTCCCAGTTTCCAAGGCCTGGTCCGGACATCAGTAGAACTGTTCATTTATTTTTAAATATATTTGTTTATTTATTGCTTTTTGGGTCACACTCGGCGATGCACAGGGCTTCCTCCTGGCTCTGCACTCAGGAGTTACTCCTGGTGGTGCTCAGGGGACCATATGGGATGCTGGGAATCGAACCCTGGTCGGTCGCGTGCAAGGCAAATGCCCTCCCCGCCGTGCTATCGCTCCAGCCCCTCAGTAGAACTGTTTAAACTGAGCCCGCGGCTGGTCCTGGGGTCTGGGATTCATGGACTGGATTCGCTGGTTGCTCTGAACCCCGTGTTCTTGTTTGGTGTTATTTGGGGGTCTCCTCTCGATGTGATTGACATGTCCCCTACATAGATGTGCCCCCCCATGTGCCCTAAACCTCTGCCCTTCTTAACACCCCCACCCCACCCCCATCTGCATCTTCTCCCCCTCGATTTCTTTTCTTTTCTTTTCTTTTCTTTTTTTTTTGCCTTTTGGGTCACGGGCTGGAGCGATAGCCCAGTGGGTAGGGCGTTTGCCTTGCACGCAGCTGACCCAGCTGACTTGAGTTCTATTCCTCTGCTCCTCTTGGAGAGCCCGGCAAACTACCGAGAGTATCTCACCCACACGGCAAAGCCTGGCGAGCTCCCCGTGGCGCATTCGATATGCCAAACACAGTAACAAGTCTCACAATGTTACTGGGCCCGCTCAAGCAAATCGGCGAACAATGGGAGGATAGTGATAGTGATGGTGATAGGGTCACACCCGGCGATGCACAGGAATTTCTAGCGGTGCTCAGAGGACCACATGGAATGCTGGGAATCGAACCCTCCCCCTCGATTTCTCTCCTTCCCTGTTCATGTGACTTTGGTTTGTTTGTGGCCACACCTGGTGATGCTCAGGGGTTCCTCCCACCTCTGCACTCAGGAATCACTCTGGGTGGTGCTCGGGGGACCCGATGGGGTGCTAGGGATTGAACCCGGGTCGGGCTGAGAGCAAAGTAAACGCCCTCCCCACTGTGCTATCAGTCAGGTCCTCTGTTAGGAGACTTAAGATGCACCCTAAACTGGGTCTGGAGCGATAGCACAGTGGGGAGGGCGTTTGCCTTGCACAGGGCCGACCCGGGTTCGATTCCCAACATCCCATATGGTCCCCCGAGCACTGTCAGGAGTGATTCCTGAGTGCAGAGCCAGGATTAACCCCTGTGCATTGCTGGGTATGACCAAAAAAAAAAAAAACCAGATGTACCCTAAACTCAGAAGGGACAGACAGACCCTACTCGAACCCACCCCCACCTTTTTTTGCTGGGAGCTCAAGTCGCATTGACAGACACAAATGGGGACCCGCGTGATTTCAAGGCTGTTCTGCTGACTCAGAGAACCGCTTCCCCACTGAGTCATGAGAGAATCAAAAGTGCTGAGTCATGGGGCTGGAGCAATAGTACAGAGGGGAGGGCATTTGCCTTGCACGCAGCTGACCCGGGTTCGATTCTCAGCATCCCATAGGGTCCCCCGAGCACCGCCAGGAGTAATTCCTGAGTGCATGAGCCAGGAGTGACCCCTGTGCATTGCTGGGTGTGACCCCCCCAAAAAATGCTGAGTCAGAAAAGCCAAGGGGAGGCAGAGGTTGGAGTTGGGTGCCGGAAATTGGTTTGAAAATTGGACTGAGGGAGCCCTTTTGCAAGTTTGGCTTTGTCACGCCCTGAGTCCTTCCCTGGGTCACCCTCGGGACAGAGTCCGGTTCTGCAATTCTTTACTTCTCTAGTGTCCGGGTCACATGGGCTCTCTGTCACCCGGAGATAACCTGGCAGCGTGATTCAGCGGTTTCTTGCCTAAACTGCCTAGCTGGCTTGTGGAACAATCCTGATACATTTTGTTTGTTTTGGAGGGGGCCATCCCCAGCAGTGCTCGGGGATCACTCCTGGTGGGGCTTGAGGGGGCTATAAAGGATACTGGTGGTGCTCGGGGAACCCTATGGGATGCTGGGGATTGAACCCAGGTTGGCCGCGTGCAAGGCAAACGCCCTACCCGCTGTACTATTACTCCAGCCCATGGTTCATTTTGAATTTCAACCCCTTCCCCAGCCCTGTCTTTTGGGAAAGGACCCCAGACCCTTCCGTTCTCGAAACGCCCGTAGATCTGGTGGCAGGAACGATCGAGCTCCAGGACCTGTGTGTGTGGCCGAGGACCGTATTCCCTGTCCACAGACAGATTTCCCAGGACGTGTCTGTTTGCTCTCCACAGGCAGACTCCAACGCGACGCTCACCCTGTCTCTGGCCCAGACTAACTTCTGCAGGAAGAACGGGTTTGACGCCCAGAGCCCACTGTGTGCGCACACGATCCTCTCAGGCACCGTGACCAAGGTAAGGTGAGGCGTGTCCAGGAAGTGAGAAGGATGCCCCACGTGGGGGGAAGGCCCTGACTGGGCCTTTTTCTTTTTCCTTTTTGGGTGACACCCGGTGGTGCTCAGGGGTTCCTCCTGACTCACTCCTGGCAGTGCTCAGGGGACCCTGTGGGATGCCGGGATTGAATCCAGCTTGGCCATTGGCAAGGCAGATGCCCGAGTGCTGGGCTATTGCCCCAGGCGCTAGCTCTGCGTGGCCAAGGTCACAGAGGCTCAATGCCTGATGTCACAGAGGGTCTCCCCGATCCCTCCAGGAGTAGCACCCTGAGCCCCAGGGAATCCCCAGTCTGGCCATCCCCCTAATCCATGGTTAATTCAATTAGCATCCGTCACACTGATTTTTTAAGCTACTCTCACTGTCACTGTCCTCCCGTTGTTCATCGATTTGCTCGAGCAGGCCCAGTAACGTCTCCATTGTGAGACTTGTTGTTACTGTGTTTTGGCATATTGAATATGTCACGGGTACTTGCCAGGCTTTGCCATGCGGGCGAGATACTCTCGGTTGCTTGCCGGGCTCTCCAAGAGGGACGGAGGAATCGAACCCAGCTCAGCCGGGCAGGCTGCGTGCAAGGCAAACGCCCTACCACTGTGCTATCGCTCCAGCCCTTTTAAGCCACATCCCTAAAAAAGGGAAAATGAGAGGGAATTTCTGTGTGGCTGTGAGGCAGTGAAGGTGACCCGGTCTTACTGCGTGAGGTCTACCAGGAAAGATTCTGACGTCCAGCTCTGATGCTCTGGGAAGGACCATCCACTCCGTAAGCATCAGGATTTGTATTTTAAAAGCTCTCATCCCAAAGACAAAGAGGAAGGGGGAAAATTGAAAAAGGAAGAGGTGGGGAAAAATCAGTGTGATGGATATTAATTAAATTGACCATGGCTTTGTTTTGTTTTTGTGAGGTACAGATTGATTGAATCTGGTCTTGGACACCTAACGTAGACAAGCGGCTCTGTGTGTGCTGTATCTCAGTCGTGGCAGTAACAATAATAGTAATAGTAACAGTAACAACAGCAGTAGCAACGGTAGTAGAAACAGCAGTAATTGTAGTAACTATAGTAACTGTGGTAGGCAGAGCCTGGCAAGCTCCCTGTGGCATATTCGAGATGCCAAAAACAGTAACAACAAGTCTCACTTTGACGTTACTGCTGCCTGCTCGGAGCACTGCCCACAGGGCAGCTAGGGGTCCTGGGAAACGCTATAGCACTGCACTGTCCTCCATTAACTAGGGTGATAGTAGCAACAATAGCAGCAGTAGTAGCAACAGTAGCAGTAATAGTAGCAACAGTAGTGATAGTAACAATAGCCATAGTAGTAGTAACAGTAGCAACAAAAGTAGCAACAGTAGCAGTAATAGTAGCAAGAGTAGTGATAGTAACAATAGCCATGATAGCAGCAACAGTAGCAACAAAAGTAGCAACAGTAGCAGTAATAGTAGCAAGAGTAGTGATAGTAACAATAGCCATGATAGCAGCAACAGTAGCAACAAAAGTAGCAACAGTAGCAGTAATAGTAGCAAGAGTAGTGATAGTAACAATAGCCATGATAGCAGCAACAGTAGCAACAAAAGTAGCAACAGTAGCAGTAATAGTAGCAAGAGTAGTGATAGTAACAATAGCCATGATAGCAGCAACAGTAGCAACAAAAGTAGCAACAGTAGTTGCTACCATTAGTAATAGCAGTAACAGTAGCAACAAGTAGGACCAGCAACAATAAGAGTAGTAACAGTAGCAGCAATAGTAGCAACAGTAGTGGTAATATTAATAATAGTAGCAATAGTAGTATCGGTAGTAGTGATAGCAAAAACAGTAGTAATAATTGTAGTAGAAATAGTAATAGTTGCTTTTTTGGCGCTCATGGGGCCATCGTGCATCTCACTTAAAGAGAGAAGGCAAGAGAGGGAGAATTTATTTATTTTTTGGCACCTGGTGATGCTCAGGGGTTTCTTCTGGCTTTGCACTCAGGGATCACTCTTGGGGACCCTATGGGATGCCAGGGATCAAACCGGGGTCAGCCACTTGCAAGGCAAGCACTCTCCCCATTGCTCTGGTCCCAAGAGAGAATTTTAAGTTCCTGCCGCCCGTCCTGCAGGTGAACGAGACAGAGCTGGACTTGGCGAAGCAGGCGCTGTTCATCCGGCACCCCGAGATGAAGACCTGGCCGGCCAGCCACAACTGGTTCTTCGCCAAGCTGGACATCACCAACATCTGGGTGGTGGACTACTTTGGGGGCCCGAAGACAGTGACACCCGCGGAGTACTACAACGTCACCTTCCAGTGAGTGCGCGCCTTCCCCCGGGCGGGGGCCCCCGGGCCCCCCGGAGGATGTTATCTCACTTCCCAGGCAGTGGGCGTGACACCTGGGGGCCCTCCTGGGGAACTCCTGGGCCAAACAAGGCTTGTGCCCGGGATGGGGGGCTGGGGACCCCCCAACAGTTCCGGGATCCACCTGGACCACCTCTAGAGGTGCTGGAGGCCTCCAGGATTGCACCTGCGGGTGCTCGGAGCTGGAGCCCTGCTGGGTGCCTCCCAGGCGTGCGTCCGCCCTGGTTGTGGCTGTGATGACCCCTGCATACTTCTGAAGCTTGTGTGGTGGCCCCAGAGCATCTGTGGGGCTCTGGGCCACACCCGGCGGTGCTGTGCACTTGGGGGTCACTTCTGGTGACGCTTGGGGGCTTCCTGTGCTGGGAATGAGCCGGGTCAGCTGCCTACCTGCCCTGCTGTGCTGTGCTCCGTCTGGGGGCATCTCCCTTAGGTCACACCTGCTTCTGCGCGATGCACAAGGGGTCAGGGTAGCCCATACCGCCACCACGGTCACAGGCTGCTGACGGGGCCCTGACTTCGCCGAGGCGGGGCCGGCTCTGGGGGTTAGCGGGGGTCTGAGGGTGGCCAGCCAGACCTGGGCCTCTACATGCTGGGTGAAGGCAGCTGCCCTGACCGCAGATGGGATGGCCTGGGTGCAAGTTGCAGGCCCGGGGCAGTGGCTGGACATCGCTGCTTGCAAGGGAGGGCTTTGTGCCCATGGTGCTGGGTCAGGGCTGCCACATTCCATCTCTTGGAAGTGGGGGGGGGGGGGCGTTTCTCAGAATCCCCAGCTGCCCTTGTGAGTAGTGCCCCAGGCTTGGGCCTGTTTCGGGATCTGGGGTCGCATCAGCCAGGCTGGTGGCTATTCGAGCACTGGGGGGGTCTGTGTGTACATCCCGGGAGCCAGCCCCGCATTCTGTAGTCCCCCAAGAGGCTGATGCCCCACCACCAGGCCCTGGATAGTCTGGGGGGGGCTATCAGTCCTGGGGTCGTCAAGGCCCACCATGGTGTGTGCTCAGGGCAGGGGGGGGTGTCTTTAATTTTTTTCTTTTGCTTTCTGGGTCCCACCCGGCGATGCACAGGGGTTCCTCCTGGCTCATGCACTCAGGAATTACTCCTGGCAGTGCTCAGGGGGACCCTATGGGATGCCGGGGATCAAACCCGGGTCGGCTGCGTGCAAGGTCGGCCCTCCCCGCTGTGCTATGGCTCCAGCCCTGGAGGGGGGTGTCCTTTGGGAAAGTGTCTCTGCAGGCTGGAGGGCTGATGGGGGAGGCGTCTCTCTGAGGGGTTCCTCCTGTGTCCCCCATGTGCCAAGACCCCGAGAATGCACTGACCTTTCAAATGGGGAGTTCAAAGCAGGGACTTGAGGCGTCGTCTCTGCCCTGCTTGCTCTGAGCCCCGGCCCTGTCTCTCCCTGGGTGCCCCTGGCAAGGATGGGGTGACGAGAGGTCCCGGGGTGCCCAGCCCCCCCGCCCTTCCTCACAGGAAATTGAAGAGGTTGGGCTGCGCGTGTGGGCGTGGGTGTGGGCACGGGGGTCCCGGGCCTGCGTGAGAAATCAAGTGGCCCCTCCCGGTGCGGCTCAGCCCAGGCCGTGGTCCCGTCACTCCCGTTTGTGTCCCCGACCTCAGTCCCATGTCACAAACACTCTCGCTTCCCCACAGGTGAGCCCTAGACACCTCTGGACACCCGAGAAGCAACCCCGGACGGCGGGAGTGACCGTGGTGGTGTTTCTCTGGAAGCTTCTCGGGGCCTGGTGCCTGCTTGCTCTTGGAATTGACCCGGATCTTTCCTGTTCTGTGCCGACGGAGTTTCTAGGGTTTTCTCTTTCTTCCGACTCCCCCCCACCCCAGTCTGAAGAAGCCATTTCCTTGCATTGCGATCGAAGGTCCCGCGTGCCCTGGGTTCCCACCTCAATCTGGCACTCCGCCTTCTTTCTTTCTGGAAGCTTCCGGACAGGAGAAGGTTCCATTCCCCCAACACCCTCCACTGCTGCCGGTGCAGGCAGAGGGGCTCCCTGGCACCAGAAACCCTGGGAAATCCCACCAAGACAGCGGTGACGCATCCCCAGGGGACCCTGCTGGATAGTCACCATGACCGCCCCCTGGACATCAGCTGGTCTCACTGGCCTGCAGAGATTCATCTCTCCACCAGGGGGCACCACTGTGCCTTCAGAACAAAAGTTTTTTAACGGTGCAAATCTAAAGTGATCATGACCCCGAACAGTGCAGATTCACAAAACTTCTCCTGCGTCTGGTTTCCCCGCCCAAGTGGATGCAGACTTTCTCAGCGCCCTTGGCCCTTTGTCGTGGCCCCTGGCGGGGTGGAGGAAGACGGAGGGTCTCAGGTGGGGGCTCCGTTTCCGGGGGTCTTTCATGAGGCTTGAATCTGGATGTGGACCCGCAGGGCAGCAGGAAACCCCAAGACCCTCCTTTACTTTGCATAAAGCCACGGCTCTCGTCCCTCCTGGGCCCCGAGAGAGATTTGCTCTTTGGATATTAAAGTCATCTTCTCACACCTGTGGTGGGTTCATCTTAAAATTTCTATTTATTTGATTTCTTAAATTTTTTTTTTCTTTTTGGGTCACATCCGGCGATGCACAGGGCTGACTCCTGGCTCTGCACTCAGGAATCACTCCTGGCGGTGCTCAGGGGGACCCTATGGGATGCTGGGAATCGAACCCACGTCGGCCGCATGCAAGGCAAACACCCTCCCTGCTGGAACATCGCTCCAGCCCCTCGAGTAACAGTTTTGTCAAATGTCACGATAATGTTGACAGGGTAAAAGAAATCCCAGTGAAAGTGGATCGAGATGAGCTCAGTGGGGGGACCCGCGTCCCCTCCCCAACCCTCTATTCCCCCCCAGAACACTTTCTATTTGCAAACCTGAGTCCCGGGTATTTGCGAGGTGGCCAGCAGAGGGCGCTCGACACTGCCTTTTGCCTGGTACCCGGGAGCTGACTCACCATGAGTGGCCCCTTACGGGCCTGTCTCTGGGACCAGGGGCCCTGGGCTGTCGAGATCTGGGTGGTCCTGCCAGTCACCCCTCGCCTGCCCCGTCTGGCCCCTTGGCAAAAGATGCTAGTGACACCCACATGCGGCAGCTGGGGTCTCCCTGGAAGATGGGACTTGGGGTCTGCAGGAGGGGACTTGGTCTAGGTTCGGCTGGGAGGTGGCATTTTCCCAAGGAGACACCGGGTCAGTCGGGAGTAGCCCTGGGGGGGGAACTCGAGGGGAGGAAGTTTTCCCGGACAGTGTCCCCAGGAGCCCCGAGGCTGGGAGAGGTGGCCGAAGCGTTGGTGGATGCCTGTGTATGCTTCTCCATCCCCATCACCCCAAATGTTTGTGTTTGCTTGCTTGCTTTTTAAATTGGTGGGCCACACCCAGCGATGCTCAGGGCTGACTCCTGGCTCTGCAGTCAGGGATCACTCCTGGCGGGGCTCGGGGACCCTATGGGATGCCGGGGATCAAACCCGAGTGAGCCGTGTGCAGGGTAAATAGTACCCCCCACCCCCACTGTGTTGTGCTCCAGTTCTCCTGATCATTGTTTTTGTTTTGTTTTGTTTTGTTTTGCTCTTTGGGTCACACCGGGCGATGCACAGGGGTTCCTCCTGGCTCTGCACTCAGGAATCACTCCTGGTGGTGCTCGGGGGACCCTAGGGGATGCTGGGAATCAAACCCGGGTTAGCCGTGTGCCAGGGAAACGCCCTCCCCACTGTGCTATCGCTCCAGCCCCCTGACCTTTGTTTTTCAATCAAGTTTTAGTTTGTTTCATAGAAGCCTTACTACTCCTTGGATAATTTTCTTTTTGGGGGAGGGGTACAAATGGAGGCGCTCTGGACCTTAGGGGGAGCTGGGGATCAAACTAGGGTCAGCCGGGGTCAAGAGCCTAAACCTTTGTGCCAGCTCTTGGCTGCATCTTTGTTTCAGCCCTCTGCCCCCCTCCCCCCCTTCTCTCTCCTTTCCCTCCTCTCCATGTCTCCCTCTTTCTCCTCTTCCTCTTTCCCTCTCTCCCTCTCCCTTTCTCCTTCTCTCTCCCTCTCTCTTCCTCTCTCTCTTTCCCTCTCCCTCTCTCTCTCCCTCTCCCCCTACTGTCTCTCTGTTGCTCTCTCTATCTCTCCTGTCTGTCTGTCTGTCTCCCTCTCTCTCTCTCTCTCTCTCTCTCTCTCGTATTCTGGCCACACCCGGTGATGCTCAGGGCTTGCTCCTGCCTCTGAGCTTAGGGGTCACTCCTGGTGGGATCCCATGGGGGTGCCGGGGATCGAACCCAGGTCAGCCTCCTGCAAGGTGCGCCCTCCCCACTGTACTATCCTTCCACCCCTCAAGTATTTATTCTTTTTTTTTTTTAATTTTTTTCCTGAGCGATCACACATTTCTCCCGTGCTTGAGCGGCAACAGCTGGCGAAGTCCAAGTTGAGTTCCATCCAAATGTGCGGGCCCAGCCTTTCCCCGGCGGGGCAGGGGACGCGGCCGCCTGTCCAGGGCCCGTCCAGGGCCCAGCGCGGGGCACAGACAAACGCTCCCCGGGGAAGGTACTGCAGAGAAGAATTGGGGGCGGGGAGACGGGGGAGCAGCTACAAACACACGCCCGCGCGCAGCCCCAAGCCTCAACCCTCCTGAGCTTCCTGCCTGGGTGCGGCTGGGGTGAGCGTGTGGCCGGGGCAGGTGCCTGCTTGTTGGAGCGCCCCCCCACTTCCTGAGGCACCTCAGACGCTCTCCCGGGCCCCTCGCACCCTAGACGGATGGACGCGATGGCCTGGCGGGGCCTGGTGGTGGCCGCTGTCCTGCAGACCCAACTCCTGCCCGCAGGTAAGTGCCCGCGTCCCCCGGAACCCGTGCGGGGGCCACCTCGACCCTCCCGTTCATGTTCAAGGCGAGCCAGCCACACTGGCCCTGGTGCCCGACCACCAGCAGGAACTTACCATTCCCGGGTCGAGAAGTTTCCTGAGTCGGGGCCTGGCCGGGAGCTCAGGGCGAGGGGACACGAGTTTCGGCCGGGCCAGCAGGGTGGGGCCGGGCGGGCCAGTTCCAGCCTCACCCTGTTGCTTCTTCCTGTGTCCACCGAGAGCGTGTCAGTGGGCGGGGGGTGGGCGGGGGGGCACTGTGGCCGCCCCCCGAGGTCCCTCGACAAGCCAGGAGTGATGCGGTGAGGCGGGTAGGAAGTGACCATGGCCACCCTGTACCCCTGAGCAGCCCCGTGGCCAGGGAGGATGCCCGGAAGATAGTGTCCTTCAGCAAGATAGTGTCCTTCCTGGACACCCCGGGCTGGACAGAGACCAGCAGCCTGGGGGCACAGAACAGCCTGGCCTAGCCCCCCCACACTCCGGGTCTCCTGAGCGCCCACCCTGGCCTTTCTGGAACATTCCCTTCCTGACAGGAGGCCGTGGCATGGGGGGGTGCCACCCGAGGGTGGAAGGCAGGGTCTGGCCAGGCCAGGGCTGGAGATTTCGAGGGGGCTGGTGATATCGGGGGGAGGGGGTTTGCTGGTGGTATTGGGGGGAGTTGGTGATTTTAAGGGGAGCTGGGGAATTGGGGGTTGATGATTTCGGGGAGCTGGTGATTCTGGGAGCTTTGGGCCTGGGATGAGGCGTCTCTGGTCTCCTTGCCCCATTCGGGCTGGGACTTTGGGGTCCCCGGGGGACAGGCGGGGCTGGGGGGGGCCGGGGTAGCAGCGGGCGGGAGGGGTCTGCTTGGGGCTCGGAGTATGACCCCCCATCACCCTCCTGCCTCCCACCCCTCGGCCATCGGCGTTCTGGGGGTGTCGCCCCTCCCCAGCCCTGGGCCACCTCCGCTCTTCAGCCAGGCTCTGGTTCCCTTTGCATGTCCTTGGTACCCCGTGGGGACACTCAGGGTCAAGGTAGGTCCCCACCCGAGGGGGGCCCTGGGTGAGAGGTGGGTGCAGACACACTTCCTCCTGCTTCACCTCCAGGTCCAGAAAACACCCTGACACTATCCTGCTGGCCCCACTGAGCGAGTCTGTCCCCCCCTAAACTGAGTCTGTCTGTCGGTCAGGAGCAGCCAGAAATTGGGGTGGATCCCCAGGGCTGTTCCTGTGCTCACTGTGCAACCCCTGGCTGCATCTCAACCTCTCTGGGCCGAGGGGGAAGAAGCCGTCTCCGTGCTCAGCCTGGGCCTGGCCCTGGCCCGTCGCTGAAGCCCAACTCTTCCCCTCTTGGGATTTCTGGGTCCAGCCACCCTCAGGCCGGGGTGCGGGGGTAGGGTGGCAGCGAGGATGCGGCCCTGGGCATGTGCCCCCACATAAAAACAGGCCTTTGGGGAAGGAGGGCCGCCACCAGCCCCAGGACGGTTGTGTCCAAGTCCGTCTGGCCATCTCTAGGTGGCTGGAGGGACCTTGCCCGCGACATCGGGGCTGGTGGCTGCTGGCCAGCGCTGTCCCCCGTCCTGGTCACAGACCCCTGGTTGCCCAGACCATCTGCCCTCCTCCTAACCGGTTAGCCCCAAGACCCTCTGTCTCCTCCGCCATGTTCACGGGAGAATTCTTTTCACTTTTGCTTTTGTCTTTGAACATCTAGATGTAATTTTTATGGCTTTTTTTTTTTTTGAGGAGGGGTGGTATTTGGGCCGCACCTGGTGATGCTCAGGGCTGACTCCCGGCTCTGCACTCAGGAATCACTCCTGGCTGTGCTCGGGGGACCCGATGGGATGCCGGAGATCGAACCTGGGTCGGCCGCGTGCAAGGCAAAAAGCCTTCCCCGGTGTGCTATCGCTCCAGCCCCTTCATACTTTTCTCTTTAACCAACAATTTTGGGGGCCACACCCGGCGATACTCAGGGATCACTCCTGGCTCTGAGCTCAGGAACCACTCCTGGTGGTGCTCGGGGGACCCTATGGGATGCCGGGGATCGAACCCGGGTCGGCCGTGTGCAAGGCAAACGCCCTCCCCGCTGTGCTATCACTTCTGCCCTAGATTTAATTTTGTTTTAAACGTAATTTAGGTAGCGAGGCTCGTGTTGCTGCGGTTCTGATCGGCGAATCCCACCCCTGTGCCCACCCGCCCCGTTCCCCAGCCCCGCTGTTTCCTTGGGGTCTCCGCCCACATCAGAGGCTCCCTGACCCCCTTCTTCGCCGCTTCTGGGGTCCCCAGGAGTTAAACAAACTGCAGGGCCCATCAGCAGCAGCGGCCTGAAGTCCCAGGGCTGTTGTCAGCAGGAGAGGACGTGACCCCTCTGGACAGACGCTCCTTGGGGCAAGGAAAGCCTTCGATGGCGAGACCCGCAGAGCACCGAGGATTGCGCTGAAAAACCCACAGACAAAGGGACGGTTGCATGGACAGACAGACACACAGACACATCCAGGCACAGACAGACACAGAGAGACAGACACAGAGACACACACAGACACAAACACACAGACACACACATAGACACAAACACACACAGACACACACATAGACACAAATGCAGACACACACACAGACAGATACACAGACACGCAGACACAAACCCAGACACACAGATAGATACACAAACACAGACACACATATAGACATGAACACACACAGACACACACACAGGCACAAACCTAGACACACAGATACACAAACACATAGACACACACACATAGACACAAACACACACAGACACACACACAGGCACAAACACAGACATGCACAGACAAATACACAAACACACAAACACACACATAGACATAAACACGCACAGACACAGACACAGACACACTTAGGCACAAACCCAGACACACACACAGACAGACACACAAACACACAGACACGCAGACATACAGAGACAGACACAGACCCACTTAGACGCAAACACACACACACACACCCTTACCCAAATGCCCCCTCCACAGCTCTGGGCCCAGCCGGGTGAGCCCCCCTGGGTCCGGCCTCTGTGCTAATCCCTGAGTCAGTTTGTAGGTCTCTTGGGGGTCCTTGTGGCGGGGAGCTTACATTGTGGGGGGTCCAGTGCCACCAGCGGGGTGTGTGTCACTCCCCGGCTCTCCTGACTCCCGTTTCCAAACTCCAGGGAAGAAAGAAGGAAGGAGGGAGTGGGGGGATTGCCGGGAGTTGGGGGGACGCATAGCCTGGCCCCTCTCACACCCCGGACGCTCCCCAGAGACGGCACTTACCTCCCCCACCAGCCTCTCTCTTGTGTTTTTGTTTGTTTGGGGGGAATCTGGGACTAGAACCCGGTTCCAGCATGCGAAGCCAGTCCTCAGCCCTTGCCCCCCACCCCCGCCCAGCTCCCTGGGGGTCTTTTTGTCCATGAGAATGGGGGAACTGCAGGACTTAGCTCACGGATCAGAGAGGAGACCGGGCAGGCGCATGGCAGCCGTCCCCCCATCCCTGTCAGGGCATGCCTTCTAGAAGAGTCCAGGCACTTTCTAGAATGTTCTACATGATTCTAGAAGGTTCCACGCTGCCTTTCTGTGGGGTCCCTGGACGCAGCCCCAGGCAGACCCTCCTCTGGGGAGCCCCAGAACCATTTCTGCAGGGAATGGCCTCACTGGGCCTGAGGCCTTCCGCGGTGCCAGACCCGCGGCCATTGAAAGAGAGCCTGGGGGGAAAAATAAATAAAAATTTAAAAACAAATAAATAAAAGAGAGAGCTCTGGGGCTGGAGTGATAGCATAGCGAGGAGGACAGGGCGTTTGCCTTGCACGCGGCCGACCCGGGTTCGATTCCCAGCATCCCATAGGGTCCCCTGAGCACCGCCAGGAGTGATTCCTGAGTGCAGAGTCGGGAGTCAGCCCTGAGCACTGCCGGGTGTGACCCAAAAAGAAAAAAAAAAAGAGAGAGAGCCCGGCTCATGCTGGCCTGTTGTTGACCTCATTTGGAGTCCCCAGGTCTACCAAATCTTCTGGAAGCTACGGTTTCCCTCTCATCCTTAGTAAATGCAGCTATGCTGGTGTTTTCTCTAGAGGCTGGCAGATCCCCCCCTCCCTCTCTCTCCCTCTCTCCCTCTCCCTTTCTCTGTCTCTCCCTTTTTCTCTCTCCCTCTCTCCCTCCCTCTCTCCCTCCCTCTCTCTCCCTCTCTCCCTCTCCCTTTCTCTGTCTCTCCCTTTTTCTCTCTCCCTCTCTCCCTCCCTCTCTCTCCCTCTCTCCCTCTCCCTTTCTCTGTCTCTCCCTTTTTCTCTCTCCCTCTCTCCCTCCCTCTCTCTCCCTCTCTCTCTCCCTCTCCCTCTTTCTCCTTCCCTCTCTCTCTCCCTCTCTTTCCTCACCCCCTCACTGCCTGACACACGTCCCATGTGGTGCCCTGGGCAGTGTGGCGTGGCCTTGGCTAACCCTGGGCCAGGAGTGGGTGTTGAAGGTGAATCCAGCCCCGAGTGGGGCTCCCCAAACCCTACACGGGGAGCCCGGCTGCTTGGCGGAGAACCTGTGTGAGGCTTCGACCCCCGGCACGGCCAGAAAAGGGATCCGCGTGTCGCCAAGGCCCACGTCTGTGTCGTGAGTCCCCGTGCCGTGACAATGTCCCCTCAGACTCTCAGCGCGGGGGGGGGGGGGGGATTCGTACCTGACGGTCACACCATTACCCAAGGTGTCACGACCCAGCGTGGGAGAAACTGGGGGTCTGGGGCCGAGACCTGGACGAGGGTGACTTCCGCCCTGCAGGCCGGGCTGGAGAGAACCGTCCTGGGGAGAAGCGCCATGAGTGAGTGTGTGTGTGTGTGTGTGTGTGTGTGTGTGAATCACTGTGAGCGTGTGTCAGTGTGTGTGTCAATGTGTGTGAGTGACTGAGCGTGTGTCAATTTGTGTATGTGTGAATGTGTGTGTGTCAATGTGTTAGAGTGTGTGTGACTGTGAGTGTGAGTGTGAGTGTGTGTGAG